ATAACTATTTAAATAATAAAAAACAAAGATATATATAAAATAAAAATAAAAATAAAATCATATAAAAATGTATGTGAGATGTCATGTGACTTACAAAACACGATTCACTCCATTTCTGGTCTTTTTATTCATTTTTTTCCCCCAACAATAATTATTATTTATTAAAAATAAATAATATAATATTATTAATTAATATGAATTGATTTAGTATGATTATTAATAATAATCCACTTCCTTTTTTTTCTATTGTCCATTTCTTATGACGTCCCACCACTTATATATATTTTTTATTTTGCACTATACATATACAGTTGCAAGAAAAAGTATGTGAACCCTTTGGAATGATATGGATTTCTGCACAAATTGGTCATAAAATGTGATCTGATCATGATCTAAGTCACAACAATAGACAATCACAGTCTGCTTAAACTAATAACACACAAAGAATGAAATGTTGCCATGTTTTTATTGAACACACCATGTAAACATTCACAGTGCAGGTGGAAAAAGTATGTGAACCCCTAGACTAATGACATCTCCAAGAGCTAATTGGAGTGAGATGTCAGCCAACTGGAGTCCAATCAATGAGATGAGATTGGAGGTGTTGGTTACAGCTGCCCTGCCCTATAAAAACACACACCAGTTCTGGGTTTGCTTTTCACAAGAAGCATTGCCTGATGTGAATGATGCCTTGCACAAATGAGCTCTCAAGAGACCTACGATTAAGAATTGTTGACTTGCATAAAGCTGGAAAGGGTTATAAAAGTATCTCCAGCCTTGCTGTTCATCAGTCCACGGTAAGACAAATTGTCGATAGATGGAGTAAGTTAGCATTAGCACACAAAACAATTTGAATTTTTTTCAAAGTGCGCTGTAAGCACAGTATTTGACAGTTCTCTTTGACTCTCAGATATGAAGTACACCGCGGGACGCAAATGTACTATTTAGCATTAGCACCCAAAACAATTTGAATTTTTCAAAGTGCGCTGTAAGCACAGTGTTTGACGGTTCTCTTTGACTCTCAGATATGAAGTACACCGCGGGACGCAAATGTACTATTTAGCATTAGCACCCAAAGCAATTCGAATTTTTCAGAATGCGCTGTAAGCACAGTGTTTGACGGTTCTATTTGACTCTCAGATATGAAGTGCACACCCCAAATTTACTTTTTATCACCCAAAGCAATTTGAATTTTTCAAAATGCGCTGAAAGCACAGTATTTCATGGTTCTATTTGACTCTCAGATATGAAGTGCACCGCAGGATGCAAATGTACTATTTAGCACAAAAAAGTGTGATATTTTTAAACCAACAATGTAACAGTAGTATTTAAGGGTTTTATTGGACTGCAAGAAATGCAGTACACAACAGTACTATTTAGCAGCAAAAAAATTGCAGTATTTAAAAATGCCTAGATGTTGCCCACTGAGCTACCAGAACAGGATTAAAGTCATGTGCCTGGCACACATGCAGTTGCAAGTGTACTGCACTCTCTGTGGCACTGGGCTCAGGGCTGGGTACAAAAATGTAGTATAGCACCCACTAAAATAATCGCTGTAGTTTGAATAATCGCTGTAGTTTGCAGATTCAACACCAGACTATGTATACACAGGCACTAATTTAAAAAGCCACAAGTATGGGAAATTAACCTTTAATTGCAATTTTAACCTGTGTGTGTCACTTTGTGTGTCTGTAACAAGGCCAAACATTCAAGGGTATGTAAACTTTTGATCAGGGTCATTTGAGTGATTTCTGTTATCATTTTGTTTTAGAAAGGAGCCAAAAAAAATGTTATAATAAAAAACAAATGTGATAATAAATGGTTTCATACGATCACTATCCTTCAATAAAATATTTTTTTTTGCAGGATCAGTCATATTTTCAAAATCAATGCCAAAATTTCACAATTTCTGCCAGGGTATGAAAACCTTTGAGCACAACTGTACAGTGACATATCACACACACAGATACATTGATGTATTACACACAGACGGAATGTTCCCATGGAGATGCATTGATTCAATGCATCTATGTGAGGAAATGCTCACTGGGGAAGCATGGAATTTTGAATGCACAATAGCTTCCCAATGCTTTGTTATTGGAAAGCATTGGGTTGGGTGAGATTATCAGGTTTGATGATCTCAGTCATGGAGTGGAGTGAGGCAGTGCCAGCCACAGCAAGAGCAGTGCAGTGCTGGAAAAAAGGTGAGTAAGCTCACCTTTTTACTGCAAGGAGAGAGGAACCGCGACCAACATTGTTGTTTTGCCACTATATTATAAGGAATAAGTTGTTTGTGCTTAGTATTATCGAAACTAGACAAGCTTTACAAAGGCCCTGTTGTGGGCCGAAACGTTGTTTCGATTTCGCTCCAATAAACCTTCCCACTGAATTGAACTTGAGTGTCTGGACCATCATTACTTTTTTGCAAATCACATTGTGAGGATTGGCCAACCTCAGGCCAGGCTGCACTCTAGGATCCAGGAGAGTGCGGTATTCATATTGTTTGGTAATCTAAGGTTTTATATGAATGGAATATAGATTGAATAATATCTGATGATATTCACACACAGATAGAGCCTTCAGGGACCCTGTAATTCTTTGTTTTAAGCGGTGATATAAACACTTATGATCGGCAGATGGCCAATAAACAGAACTTGCTTAAAATATATATAAATTTAATAATACACACTATAAAATGCAAAGCAACAAAACAATACAATTACAATGAATTTGCTATATTACATATGAGTTTCCATCAACAAGTCAATTAATTTACTTGACAAGCCTGAGAGTCAACATTACACTTTATCTCATCTATAATCTTGTCAGCAAAGGACAAAAAAAGCTATTACAAACTTCACAGCAATACCAGTATACAGAATTAATCATATGACACCCCTTGCATTAATGATACAATTGTTATTATATTAATTAGTTAAATATCAACCAACCCTGCCAAGTATATACCATCAGTTTAACTACAGTACATTTATATAAGGTTTCTGATAGCCTTAGTATATATATATATATATATTGAACTGATGTACGTCTAAAGAAGGAATCAAGAATGTTCTGACTTAAGAAGTTATATCTGACTCAGGCTGCAGGTAGAATGAGATATAAATGTTCTATCAATAGGGATCAGTTCACAATATAGACACATAGGGCATTCAATAGTCCAGTTTATTTAATATAAAGTAAAGAGAAACCTTTATACATTATTACCAAGAGTCTAGGATGAATTCATTCAATTTGGGATTCTTCTCTCTGGGTGCTCTGGTCTGTAATTCAGTCTATTGCCCTTAGTCAGTCAATCTCCTCCTTTCTTAGCCCTCTGTTTTCTCCTTTGATCTTTTTAAGATGATCTGAAGATCTCGATCCTCTCTCTTATTTTTCTCACTATTTAACCATTATTTCCCCCTTATCAGTTCCTGCCCCTTGTTTGTAAATGGGCGGTACCTGGGACTTAAATCTGGCTTTTGATTGGTTATGGGCGTATCTTAATATTTAATTATTAATGTGGCCCTTAGGGACTTTCATCAATAGATGGCACTGTTTCCCTAGGTATGAAGACCTGAATTAGATCATTGATGACCTGGTTAAATAAATGAATTGACCTTTAATTCACCTATACTGGGGATATTTCAAATTACGTTAAATATCTGTCTTTGGTTATATATATTCTTTAATTAAAACAGGGTTGGTTATATTAATTATAATGCAACATGTCTATATCCTGTATCAATCTAACCTGTATGATTAACTGATTGATACATTCATCTTTACAAAGAAAACTAGAATCTAATTATATTAGTATATCTATATTACCTTTTACCCCTTAATAGGTCAAGGATGCAGTTATAGACATTACTGTAGCAATCACACATTTAGTTTACATTTATATATCATGCATGATTCCAATAGATACATTTAAGTTCTAATATCCTGAAAACATGGCAGCGACCTTAGACTTTGGGTTCGTATGGCTGACAAACCCTCTGGATTGCCTGTGATGTTTATACACAAACAATTGCATAGTTTGTATACTCCTTTGAAGCTCTGTGAGTTTAAGTATCCCAGGATTGTAAAGTCCCATTGAGTAATAAACCATTGTTCTCGTTACCATTGTACACCTACAGCTCACAAATTAAACTGTAGATAAGTATTCCTCCAGTTTACTTTTAAGGTTACAAAACACAAAGTTCCTTTGACCTGTGTTGAAACAGCCTTATGTAATGTCCAAGCCAGCCTACCAGCATCCATATTGTTTTCTTTTAATATTAAAAATTATGGGGCACCAAATAGCACAACAAAATTGGTAAATATATTGTGCTTAGTATTAGACATATTCAACTTTGCATATTCTCCTGATACCGCCGGTAATTAGTTCATTGGAGGTCTTCTGAGATTATGATGTGTTCCCTAATTCTTCATGGCTATCAGAAGACCATTATATGTAATTAAATATTTCATTCCCATATGTCCTCTCAGCAATCAAGTTAGAGATAAAATATAAAAGGTCATGGAAAGAGAGAGAGAGAGAGTGAGAGTAAAAAACACATCTGAGTGTGTGATGAGGCTGCTCTATATATTAGCAAGCATTTATAGGTGTTTTTATATGTATGAGAAAGATGGTACAGAACCTTATTGTATCACTATAAGGCTGATAGTGTCTACACCATTGACATGTGACATTGGAAGATTGTGTGACAGTGACAGTCAGTGAAGACACTCTACATTGGTCTTTAATAGACAGGCAGAGAAACTGATTCATGATAATATCCCTGCCTTCTGTGTTTGAGTTAGTTAGTTACATATCATTCTTGTGGTCTCAGCTAAACAGGCAGGTTCCTTGTGATGGTAAATGGTCATTTTATGATGGTCAAAGTTTAGAATATCAGGGTGAGCGGACAGAGTCCCAAGATCCCATTACCAAGTGATTATCCATCTTATATAAAGGGTTTGAGGACTACATGCTGTGTGTTCTACTCTACCAAGCTCTTTTATATCCTACTAGTCTGTCGTAGTTTTTGCTAATGCTTGAATACAGTTAAATCTGTCTCAAATCAGTTATAGATTACAAGCCTTTCGTTGAGGACTATTATTCAAACAACTTTGTTTCCAAATCTGGTGAGTAGCAGCAGGGAATCTTTGTGATGGGTTCTGAAAGGGTTATTGTATCGAGTGAGTTATACAGTTTGCTAGTTTAGAAATGTCTCAGCATGCTCACAAACGCCATCTTTCTAACACATCTGTTTGTGGAAAACAGGTTACAGAAGTCCAAGAACTTTATGCATGTAACACAATCAGAGATAATGAATCCCGCAGTTGTGTTTATGACACATTGTTTGTGATAAAAATCTGAGAAATCCTTACCATGACTAAGGACTCATCAGATATAACCATGCCTTTGCTCCTCTGCATGCTATTGGTGCTGCTATGTACCCTTGCTGCAAATGTTCCTACTGATGGTCGGTCAAACACAGGCTGCCACCTCTCATCACCGCTTATCACTGGAAACCTGAGTCTTCCAGGAGATTTTGTATTGGGAGCGATGTTTCGCATCCATGCTGAGAGAATCTACAGTGAAATGGATTTCAGGAGCAGACCGGACATCAAATGCAAATCGTAAGTTGAAATATGATAATCACATTTGACATGTAGTGTGGCACAGAGTGGAAAAATCTTCCCCAAATATATGTCATTCTCACTCCAAGAATCATCTGCACTTATGTTACTGTTATTAAAAGGGAAATGTCAGGATTTTTTGGTATTGTAAAAACCAAATAAAAAAGTTACTTGCATACTATCCCAAATCCCTATGAACATTTAAATTACTGGAATTTTCCTTAGCATCACTCCAGTGGCTATTTAAAGTGTAAGCTCACCTGCCAAGTTGAGGCAAAATCTCTTGGATGAGTCCTACACTAACAGGTAAATAATTCTAATGAGACAGAGAGGGGCATTTTTCCATACCCCTTTCAACCCTGGATAGTCAATAGGTTTAACTACCCAAAATATTTAACATAAACGCATGCAAGGTCTTAAAAAAATAAATGTAGGATCCATTCTGCTCTGTTTAGCTGTATCCTGGAACTTAATGCAAAGTGTGCCCTGACTGGGACAGGATTGCACTTTATTGTAATGTTAATTGCTAAATATTTTACATGTAAAAGTAAAGAAAATAATCACACAAGAAACATTTTTATTAGTTATTTTCAAAGCTTCAATGTTCTACAAAAGGACCTGTCACACACATCACTTCCTCTTTCTTTGCTGCTCCAGCATGGCACAGGTCAGAGTATTTTGTCCTTGTGACTGTTTACTCTTACTTGTCTGATTTATTCTGTATTCTGTGTAATGATTCATAGGTATTTAAGATAGCTTTATTAGCTCATATATCTTTCTACAGTTTGAAGATTGTTTTATTAGGTAAACTGATTGATAGGTTTTATTCTCTCATTGTGTGTTATTCCACTTTAAACAAAGGTTGCTATATTTGTATTATATACATATTTACCCTGCTGTTCTTGTTAGATTGGTCCCCACTGCCGTTCTGCAAATTCTTGTTTCCCCTTTTTACTTGCTTTTCACAACCCTCTTTCAGGACTGCTCCCTCTCCCTTCTCTCCTGGAGTCCTGGCACTTGCCCCTCGCGTGGATCTTTTTGCGAGTGCTGTGAGATTCACGTCGCCCATTTCCTATTCCTTCCAGATCGGTATTAACGCGATCTGGATTAAATATAGTTACCTCCAAGCTGTATCTGAGGCTCCACACTCACCACTGGAGACTGCATAATTTAACATAATTTAACATGAATAAAATCTAAAAAAGTGTAAGGAATTCTGCATGGCATTTTAACTGTGAATATCATAATACTGTCAGCTTTTCCTGCAGCAAAATAAATATATTTGTGTTCAGCGGTGTCTCATATACAGCACCCCCCATATACAGGATTTTACGTGGTTTTGGAAACTTACATGGTTAAATAGAGCTTTCCACTTTTCTGTTTTTACACAGAAATTTGCAGATTGGTTATGCTGCCTTTGAGACCGTATGACAGCCAAGGAATGTAAATTAACCGCATCATGGCAAATCATGTGCAATGGTAGACAACCGAGGGTATTCAAATGGAGTATGTTCAGTCTTTTTATTAGCCACTTAGTCTCAAACACTGGCCAAATTTAGCGTTCATACTTTTTTAACAAAAATACTGCTCTTTCACGGAGTATATCATAAGCATTATACATTGTACTGCTCTATACACACATTTTTTTTAATTTTTTTTTTTCAACTTTCAAATTTGAAAATCTTTTATTTTTAAGCATAGGTAATGCATACATTGGTTTCGACGTATATTATAACAGTACAGATATGTCATGTAATATTTGCGAAGGTACAGTGATACCGTATAAGGTGTGGGCATAACGTGTTACATTACACACAGTATTAAACATCGGTAATATTTCAACATTGGTAGTAGATAATAATATACAATACAGTATAGTTGCATAGTGAAACGTAGGACGTTGGTCAGCGGAAGTATGAGTTTCCTGGAGTTAGACAGGTTAGGCTGATCCATGTTGCAGCGTAGGTGTCAGACCACAGTAGCCACTAGTGTAGGCTTTAGTAGTAACTGTGAAGTATTGCTCGATTCAATAGAGCGCTAATTGTATTGGTGTAGCCTTGAGGAGGCTTCGGTTCCATTCTTTTCCCACATCTTGCTCCTTTAAAGCCCAAGTATGTGCTACTGAGTCCTGGGTCATCCCTAGTGTCAGTACTGTCACTAATAGGTAGTCATCTAGATTTGTCCATGTCAGTTCTCGGTTCCCACTGCGCTCCCGGATGCCCGTGGTCTCGCCCGACGCCACCCCTCCCCTGCCCCCTATCCTTTGTCATGGGGTGATCATAGTTTATTGTCTAGTGTCGTGAATGTAGTCCACAGTGCCCAAATTTTGGTGTACTTCCCATAGTTCCCTACTTTAGCCTGCGTTATACCTTCTAATTGTTTCGTATCTTCCACCCTCTGGATCCATTCCCTGAGCGAGGGGGTGGTAGGCTGCTTCCAATATTTAGGAACTAGTTGCGCCGCTGCCATGACCATGTGATGGAAAAGTGCTGTTTGTAATTTTGATAAGCCCTGGGGGGGCAAGAGGAAGATGTACTGGTTTAGGGCTAAGGGGAAATTGGTCTGAAAGATGCTGAGAATGACAGTGTGAATTCTGTTCCAGAATTTCGCTATTTGCGGGCATTGCCACCATATGTGTGCATGATGTGCTCCTGGTTGATCGCATCTCCAACACTTGTCTGGGGGCGTGGTATGGATCATGCGGATTTTTGCTGGTGTATAGTGCCAGCGTGTTATGCGTTTATAATTACTCTCTTGCGCTGTCAGCGATATTGTGGTATTATGTGCCGCTTTAAGGATGGATTGCCACTGTGGGCGCGTGAACTCTACTCTGAGTTCCTCTGACCACTTAGCTGTATAGCTTTGGAGATTGGGTGCTTGTGACTCCCTAATTAGTATGTACATGGTAGATAAAACTTTTCTAGAGAACGGGTGAGTGGAGCACAGTTGTTCAAATTTTGTCAAGGGCCTGTCCCCCCCGGGTAGTAGGTTGTGCGTCTTGATAAAGTGTTTCAGTTGGTGGTAATGTAATTGTTGTAGTACCGTCGGGGTGTCAATCTGTAAGATTTGATTCAAAGTTTTAACTTTACCGCCCTGGATAACATCACACAATTTTAGTGTCGCGCTATTGTGATAGAGCTCAAACGATTTGCCCGAGTTTCCTTGTTGGAAGTGAGGATTATGTGTAATTGGGAATAGCGGGGATGGGGTTGGAGAGAGGTCTAAAGTTTGTCTAAGTCTATGCCACATTTTAAGGGTTGTGTCGACTGTCGGGTGGCAGTAATGGAGTCCCCTTCGTGAAGATATAGGGTCGGGGTGTGACCAGACGCAGATGGATAGTGGGGTTCTGGAGAGAGCGTTCTCCAGGATAGCCCACTGGTGGGTTTGTGCGTTTCTTGTCCATTCGTAAACCCTCTGTAGGTGTATTGCCTGTTGATAAAGTTCAACATCGGGGAGATTTACTCCTCCTCTTTCCTTACTTCTAGTCAAGGTGGCGTGGGCCAAACGTGGTGATAAGTGTGCCCATAAAAATCTCGTGAACATGGACCTAGTCGTGTTGAAGAATGTGCGTGGGATAGCAACAGGAAGAGTCTGTAGGAGATATAGAATACGAGGTAGGATGTTCATTTTAAGTATATTGATCCTACATAGCCAGCCGAAGCAGGGCTTGTGCCATGTCTGGGGATCCTTAGTAATGACTGCCAAAAGAGGGGGAAAATTTAGTGCATAGATCTACTCTAATTTGTTCGGGATGTGAACCCCTAAGTACTTAATTGACCGCGGTGCCCAGTTGAAATTAAATTTAGACTGTAATAGTGTGTCCATGGTTCTCGCGGTGTGAATTGGTAAAAGGTCGCATTTAGTTAGGTTCGCCTGAAAGTTGGAGACTTTACCATATGTTTCCATTTCCGCTATTACATATGGTAATGTCAAGAGCGGGTTCGCAATTGTGAACAAGAGGTCATCGGCAAACTCCTGTTTGTCAATTTCAGAGCCCTGTATGTTGTTATTGTCTCTAATACCCTGAAGGAACGGTTCCAGGACTAGTATGAAGAGAATAGGGGAAAGAGGACACCCTTGTCTCGTCCCATTAGTGATGGTTACTGGTTGTGATAACTGACCATTGACCCTCAGTCTAGCAGTTGGTGAGGAGTAAATAGAGTTTAACCACTCTTGCCAGCGTAGGCCAAAGCCTAATTGCCGCATTGTGTGTTGTAAGAGTGCCCAACTAACTCTATCAAATGCTTTCTCTGCATCGATAGCCAATCGAATACTGTTTATTTTGCGTGATTGAGCCCAGTGTACCAGATTAATGATTTTAGTTGTGTTATGTTTTGCTTCCCTATATGGAACAAAACCTGCTTGGTCTTGGTGGATAAGGCTGGGTAAAAAAGGTTTCAGTCTGGTGGCCATGATTTTTGTGAGAATTTTCAGATCTGCGTTTATCAACGAAATGGGTCGGTAACTGCCACAAGACGTAGGGTCTTTTCCCGGTTTAGGTATTAGAGTAATGGTCGCCTCTAGTGCAGACTTGGGTATACTAGTTGACAGTTTATGGGCATTAAATGCGTTAATAAAGGGCTGTGCTAAAGTTTGAACCATTAATTTGTAGTATTTCCCAGTGAAGCCGTCTGGGCCTGGGCTTTTACCTAAAGGGATAGTCTTGACTACCTGTTGGAATTCTTCAATCGTGATGGGTTCATCAAGGAAAGCCTTGTCTATAGGTGGC